GGTATGGTATGGTATGGTATGGTATGGTCATACATACAAGGATGCATGATGAAAATTTCTTGAGTCAGGACATGATCAGTCCTCAATTCAATTAATTTTTACTTGCTGATTTCGGTAGTTGGTCAATATTCTGACACAAAGGCTAAATGAATGTGTGTGTAGTAGAGAACTGCACCTGCAGGGTCTTGGGAATTATACACTGCTTACAGATTAGTTAAATGCAGCTGTAACCGTAACGCTAACTGCACTACATTATTTCCCAGTACAAAGGGATTTGGAAGATTCCAAGGAAGCTAATGTTTTCCATCTGTTTTGTTCTGGAGTCTGTGGGCATAAGGTTCTGCCTCTGATCAAAGTTATTCACTTTAATTTAACCCCATAATATACAAAAACATACAAACTGCAAGCAGTTACACAGAATTTTGAAGAAATTTGAAAGGTCTGAAATGTCTACGTCATAGTAGAATAAGACGGTATTTACACAAAATTATGCACACAAGTAAAGACTTATGCCTGAAGGACCGCATGTTGCTAAAACGTTAAATAGCCAGAGGTGTTAGTGACATGTCAATAAAAGTCAGTGCGGTTACAGCACTATGACCACTAATTGCTTCTGGAGTTAAAACTGGAAACAATTACCAATGGAAATTTCTTATCTCAGTGTATGAGAAGAAAACAGAAAGTAATTTGTACTGAATCCTACCTTATGTCTTTAAACTGCTTCAATAAAAAAAGAAATTACATTTCACTTTTGACTTTCCTTAGCATCAAGAGAGGTTGCATTTTCGGTGAAAACCAATACAAATGAACATCTTTGTGTACATAATGTAGAAGTGCATTTGTGATCAGTACTCCTTCAGGTTCACTGCTGCCAATCCCTGCCTATCATTTCACTTCTGGAAAAATCCATTGAGGAGACGGGGTGACCATGCACCGGGTAGAAATGGGGGGTGGGTGGGCTTCGTTTGCAAGGTCACCTTCTTTTGAATGGGGGAGGGGGACTGATTTCCCCCGCCCTGATGTTCTTGTTGAGGATTTTTTTTTTCACTGCTGACCTGGATTTTTCTCAGAGATGTTATTGCAAAGAGCCACTCAATTATAACATCTGTGTCAAGAATCCCATAAATACCGATCCTGTCATAAACCCCCTTTGTTTCTGTCAATGGTCAGGTTACAGTTGGAGCAGACTCCACACGTGGGACACACAAAAGAAGCTGTATCTTACATGGAGGAGGGGTACGCAGTTACCATGGAAACCGACAGCCCTACCCCCGAAGCAGATGGTGGTGGTTAGGGTAACGGGGGCTGGGTGTCGTGATGGCGGGACTCAGAGATGATTATCTGTCGAAGGTTTTCCGTACTGAAAAAAGCAGCTCCTCTGAGTCTTCTTAGAAAAACAGGTGTCTCAGTTCTGCATTCAGTTGTTTGTTCATGTGGGTGAATGCTTTTTACTCACAAACAATAGAGAACATTCCTGTGTGCCTTCAGTCAAATAAACCAGATCAATTTTCATTTTCAATTTTCAATTAGTTGTTTGTTTTCGTTTTCATTTGGATTAATTTGAAGTACCCAAAACTTTTTTACTCTAACCAAAATGGATGCCACTTTAGAATATCAATCATGTTCATATTTAACATTTAAAACTTTTTTTTTAAAACGTCTCAATGAATGTCTCTTCTGGATGCAATTTACAAATATTAACTCTAAGTGAGAATCTTCAGCAAAAGAATTGCAACACAGACAGTTATGCCTTTAAGACAAATGCTTAGGCTATAAACAACTTCTAGCGTTAGAAGAAATAGCATTACAACGGCATGACACCCTTGAATGTAACGTAA